GATACGAACAGGTGAATTTACTCTCATTTACAGCTCATTTACACACTTTTCCTGAAGATAGAAGAGTTTGTTGAATCTGACGTGACATGTTCGTACGAACCCTTTGTACGAACAAAAGTAAGAGAAATTTAGGAGAAGAATACGAACATGTTCTTGCATGAGGCCCATTGGTCGTAAAAAGTCCTACCATGACATTGACATTCCAATATTTCACCTCATCCAGTGTTTTTATCTGCCATAATTTGCCAAAAAATATATAAAAATAAATAAATAAACCAGCAGAAAAAGAGGAAAACAGCAACCTCATCCGTCCAGTTTAATAGCGCTGCGGGTTTGATTTTATAGATAAACATCTGACCTCTACCTATAACGCTGTGCTTGCAGAAAACAATGAAATGGTCTATTAGGATGGCTCCAATAAGTAATTATTTGTAGATGTGTGTTCAGTGATTGTTCCTTGGTTGTTTTGCTAACAGACAGGGTTGATACCCACAGTTAATGTTATGAACATTTTACAGTTTACGATTTCTTTAAATCTAAAATAGAAATGTTTCACTTTTGTACCTTAGCTCCTGGTCTTATCTTAGTTTCAGTGCTTTAACTGTATGTTTTCGTCATAGTTTGATGATTTTTTTTAACATAGTTTCAAGAAAAGTCAATTTTAAGATAAAGCAAGAATTTGTCTCCAACCGCAGCTTAATGGCTCAAAATTCAAAGGTTTAAAGGTTTTAAACGGAGTTTCCATGAAGTCATATTAGAGAGCTCCAAGTTAACATCACCCTGTTTTTCATTGTCTGGGTTTCTCTGCTCTGGATGGAGGAAAAAACTTTGACTTTATGATCTTAAGTCAAGCGAGCAAACATGTGGCAAACCTGGTGGCCTGATTTGTCAGTGAAGGTACGAGAACAAAGGTTTTACAAGAATTTAAAAACTAACCAACATAGTTATGCATTAAAAGTTAAACCTACAAGTTTAATCTTCAACTTGTTTTAAAAACATGCTGGATTTATTAAGTAAATGAAAATGACAAGCATGGATGACAAACTAAAACATTTTTTTTGCACACTTTAATTCTCAGAAAATCAAACAATCATAATGTAGTTGGTGAATGGATGAAACTATCAGGATACATCAGTGTGAATAATCTGACTACAGTAAGTGAAACAGTAAGTGCACACGAGTTAGAACTTGGTCAGATTAAGACATTTTTTTTTTATCATGCAGGCAAACAGTTTTTAAATATTTTATCACACAAGCACCAAGCAAACTGTTAAAGGTTGACTCTCACTGAGCTGCGACTGGTTGGCACTGGCTCACCTCAGACATGTCCACATCTAAAGACCACACTGATGGTAATTCCTATTAAAGAAATGGTCCAAATCTGCCCGTCTTTATATCAAACATTCTCTCCAGCAGGTTTTCCCTTAATTTATTTATTTGTCACTTATCCAGTTATACAAATGATGATTAATCCACAGGTATGTAATTGACTACAACTGAGTGAAAAGGAAGCAGGGAGTTGTTTTGTGTGACCTATGAGTGGTGTTATTTTGGCACATGACACAGAAGGACACTCTTTGCAAATCTTAAAGGTTACAATTTTTATAACTTTTAGGTTTAAAAATCTACAATGAAAGCTTAAATTTTTAATTAAACCCGTTAATTTTTTTTTCCACTTTATGGTAAAAATTAACACAAACTTTTACTGATTTTTACTCAAAGTAAACTTTTGGCAACAACTCATAAAACTTGGCTAAGCACAATGAGTTTTTCCAAAGGAAAAAAATGTTGATTTGATCATTAGTAGAAGAAAGTATGAAATGAGCATTATTTACATGCATTCAGTCAACATGACTAATGTCCCTTCAAACCTTCTGTTAATAAATCTTAACAACCTAAAACTACACATTTTAATTACTTTGACCATACTTTTTGGACCCTAATCCTAACCCTGTTTGATGTAGACAGAGGGGGACATTAAAGTAATGTGCGCCACCAAGAAAGCAGTAGGAAGATGCTAAGATGACAATAGGGCATTCATGTTAAAAACTATCTATTCAAAAGACGGCCACTTATTTACAGACACCCAGAGTATGTGAGACGGCATCAGAAGGTTTATCTATGTTTTTGCAGTTCGAGTTGCCAGCTAGTCTCCAACAGTCGCAGCCTAGTGAGATACCACCTTTAAGCACATAATTGAAGTTAAACAAACATTTCTTGAGGTTAAAACTTAGGGTGGCAGAACTCAGAACTGAGGATGGGATGAAGGGTTCTGGGATTACTAGCTCAGTCGTTACTTACTGTAATCTGTGATGGCCTTTGGACTGGGGTGGAGGTGGGCTTAATCGTGATGCTACTTGTGATTTTGCTGTTGCCTTTGACGGCAGGAGCATTGCAGTTCGCAACAATGGGAGTCCTTTGCTCCTGGAGTCTGGGCACGTGGCATGGACTCAGCGTCTGAGACGGAGTGCTAATGCTCTGGATGAATGGGCTTCCTAAGTGAATGTGGATTTTGTTGTCCTCTGTTGTGATGACGTTCGAACCCGAGCTGTTGGACCTCTGGACCTGCCAGCTGTTCTGCCTTTCTGGAGTCACGCAGAAGATGGCGTGCCCACCAACGACCTCCACTGGCTCAGTGGAAAGGGAGCGCTCAGGGACACCTGTTGTTACTGAAACCATCTGGATGGGTGACAAGGCTCGGTCTGGTGATACAGAACCACATGAGTCTGGGGTCATTGCTCTGGAGTAGGTAGTCATAGCGAATGGTGACAGGGCCCTGTCCGGTGAACACGGCTCATCTGACATGGGGGAACACTTGGGTTTAGCTGTTGGAGAAATAGATTTTGCTTTTGGGGATATGGAAGCATTCTGGATGATTGTGATTCTCTGCTTGGGTGGACCTCCACTTGTGGGTATGACGGCAGTGCTGGTGAAAGATTGGGGGGTTTCCCCTGTAGGACTGGTGATCTCTAGTGTTGCAGTGTTGTGTCCATGGTCTGGAGTGACTTTAATGTGTAAAGGCTGCCCAGGATGGTGGGTCAATACAACGTCTCCCGGCTGGACATGGTTGCCATTGTGCCGTGGTTGCAATTTGCCGTTCACCTGATGAAGATGGCCATCTTTGCTTTTAAGGAATGGGCTTCTCACTCGTCTCAAGTTGTTGTTTAGGTTGTTGACATTAGTTATGAGGGAAGGGCTGCACGTGGTGAGCTTCAGCTCATTGCTGTAATTTGTGTCTTCTTCAAGATCGCTTTCATCGTACAGCTTCCCGTTCACCACTGCTCGCTCAAGGGGCACCATAGTCTTCTCGTTGGGAGACAGAAGGTCAGTTGGATCAGTCTGAACCTCTTTGGTGGACAAGTGCAGGTCTGAAAAGCGCCTTCCGTTCATGCCAGGGCGAAGACTTTTGCTGAAGCGTCTGTATCTCTCAAGCTCCCGAGTGAGTGTTTCCATTTCTCTGGCGAGTTCTTTGTTTCTGACCTCCTGCTGGGTGAGTTTTCTTTGCAGCGTTGAGTGGTCTGTCTTCATGCGACAGATGGACTCTTCTGTTCCCATGTATTCATGAATCTTCTCTTTGAGAGCTGCCACTTCACGGCTCAAATGACTCGACTTGGCTTCCTCCTCTTTTAAGCGTTTGTAAAGAATGTGCTCTTGGTTGCATTCTTTCTTCTCAGCCAGTTGGTACTTTGAAAGCTCTTTTCTTGATATTTCCAGTTCCTCCATCAGGGCTTGAGCTTTTTCTTGTTCATTGTTGAATCTTTTCTCCAGAGATTCAAAATCCTGTGTTTTTAATAAATCGCCTTCTACTACTTTCATGTCCTTTAATTTGCGCCTGAGGCGCTCAACTTCCTGTGTCAAATCTTTGACTTTGTTGTCTTCTTGCTGGAAGCGATTAACGAGTGGTGATTTGATGTGCTCCTCTTTGGTTTTGTTTCTCAGGTATTCTCTCTCAGCTGTCTCGAGCGATTGCACTCGTTTCTTCGTCATATTCAGCTTTGATTCCAAGTCGTTGCTCTTCTCCTCCTCCGCTCTTAGCTTGGCCTTCAAGTCATCCCTCTCCTTTGTAGCACTACACATTTTCTCTTCCAGCTCAGCTTTCGATCTCAGTGCTTTCTTGCTCTCCTCTATTAGCTTCTCTGTGACAGATGTAACTTTGTCCTGTTCAGCCTGAAGTTTGCCCGTACTGTTCTGCACCTTGTTCTCCATTTGCTTTAGCTTCTCTGCCATTGCTTTCCTCTCATCCACCAGCATGACAGTCAGAGTCTTTAACTTAGTTAGATCTTCCTTCAGTGTCTGCTCGGTCTTGCCCAGATGGCTCTCAGCAGTCTCCAGTTCTTTCACTCTTTCTTTCAGGTCTTCCAACTCGCCACTCAGGACCTTTGACATGGTTCTTTCTCTCTCCAAGTTGCTTTTGAGTGAGATGCATTCCTGTTTGCTCTTACTAAATGCATCCTCCAGTTTTTCTAAATCTATAATTCTGTGATTCAGTTGGTCCACTTCAGCTTTCAAGCACCGGCTCTGGCTGGTCTCCTTCTCCAGTTTTTTGTGGAGGTCTCTGCAGTGATCCTCCATTCTGATCAACTCCTCATCCTTGCCCTCCATCTCGAGCACCCGCTTCCGCAGCTCTTCGAGCTCTGACATGAGGCCAGAGTTTCCGCACTCTCCTCGACTTATTTTGTCCCTCAGCTCCTGCAGCTCGTCCTCAGCTCTGCGCAGCATCTTGTTGCTCTCCTCCAGCTCATCCAGCTGTCGGCTGAGGGCGGACAGTTTCTGACGCAGCTGTCTGTTTTGAGCATCCTCGCTCGTTAGCTTGGCAGTCATGGCCTCTTGTTCCTGATGGTATCGACTGGCTTGGCCACGCAGCTCCGCCTCCAAACGACAAACCTTTTGTTCCTCGTCTTGAAGACAAGCATTAGCTGAGCTCAGTTCTTCCTGAGCTTGTGACAAGCTGGCACTCAGTTCTTGGACTTTTGTTGTTTTCTGGTTCAGCTGTTCAGTGAGACGCTGCTGTTCATCTACGACCATCAACGCAAACGACTTAAGTTTTGTCAACTCTTCCTTCAGACTTGAGATCTTTTTGGTGTATTCATCTTCTTTTCGTTCTTGGTAGGCCTTTTCCTGGTCTATTAGCAGCTTTAATCTGCAAAAACAAAGAAAAAATAAGTGAAACATGATCTATAGGCAGCTTGTTTTACAATGATCTGCCATTTTTTTGTTGGCCAAGGTCTATTAATTGTTGTGGCCATCTTGAAAGCCTTAATGGCACGGTCTTAAGCAAAACTTATTTTGTGTTCAGTTCAAAGTACTGTATGTGTTTGCAGTAATGCTCAGCTGTATCCACCAGTGGTGGGTAGCGCTAACCCAAAAATTAGCACCGCAATTTCTAAAGCACTTATTAAAATATATAGGTCCGCAACTTCAAAAAAAACTCATGCCAAGGAAAAATTAGCAGAGGCTAATTTTAAAGCACAAGTTCAAGTTGACACTTACTAGCTGGCAACAATTCATGTACAATATATGTACAACACTGCCAACTAGCGGTGTATGAATCCATGTACAATTTAATCCTACAAGCACCGAATGCTGGGGATGTGATTTCCTGAAACAGAACTTTGGCTCCTGGTGTAAAAATCTAAAAGTTGTTGAGGATTGCTAGTTCGGCCGCTTCTTTGTCTTTTTCTGTCTGTTTGTTGTAGATTTTTCATTAAAGAAGCATCAATAAAGCAATTTTAAAACTGTTTATTGGAAAACTGAAGCGATGCATTCTGGGTACATGATGGATTTGATTTGTGACAGGAAATGAAAGTTTTCCATGTAGTTGCTCCAGTTGACCACTAGATGTCTGTCTAACCCCGTTGACAGATTGCTTCGACCAATTACGTCAAGTATTGAGCTCCAGCATTTAAACTTTATTTCTTTTAAAAAAGGAGCTCCGATTGTAAAGTAAAATAAATCAATACATACAAAATTTTAGTATGGATTACAAACGTTAACTGTTTTTGCTGTTGCCTTCCTGCTACGTAAGCAGACACAAAGCATTGTGGGAAATCAGAACCGTGACCGAATGCAACAGTCCACAAGGATGTACATCTTCTAAATAAGTGTGTTTATCTAGGTGGGGTGTTGTTGGATGGATCACATGTGTTGTGATTCATTGACAGTCATACCTTCTGCTGTTCAAGATAATGATGACTGGTAGATAATTAGTTATTAGCGGTACTGCATTTTAATTTTAGAAAGCACAAATCTGCTTGTGAATCATAAAAATTAGTAAGACTGCTAAAGCGCTAATGAAATATTTAGGTCCGCAATTAGTGGATTTGCACTTTAGCGCACTGGTGCCCACCACTGATAACCACACCCATTTTAAGATTGATATCTGGGAAATTGGTGGAGTAAAGCCATTTTTTGTGATTTTTCTATGGTTCATTGCCTGTGGACGTAAATAAGTTGTAGATGTCCATCGAATGGTTATTTTCTTAAAGTTACAATAAATTACATATAGATAATTTGCTAACCTTACACACGCATGCATGCATATACAAGTGTATGCAAGTGCACTTGTAAATTTAGTATAATCCTTTCAAAATGTTTATTTAGCCTAATTCTACATAATGTCCAAGCAATCAATATATTAACAGTAGTTGGAGAAAACCCTTGGTATTCCTTTTTGCTCTATAAAAAAATCTATTTAATTCAGTTTATATAGCACCAAGTCACAACATATGTCATCTCAGGGCACTGTACACAAGAATACAAGCATATCAAAATTTCCTTCCTCTGTGAAGGACCCACTCCTCCAAGCATCGACACATCATAAACGCTGTTATTTTCTCCACATTGCTAAGGAGAACGAAGGTTTTTATGTCACGGAAAATTTAACACTTCATAAAGAGGCTGAATGTTGGGGTCATAGTCTGAAATACCTGTGGTTCTATTTCTCCACTTGTTGCCAACTAAATCTCACATGGATTAGAGTTATGACTGTAAAGTGCAACAAACAGTGAGTTTTGAAAGTTTCCAGGGCGTTGCATGAGGTTCTCTGTAGAAAAAAAAAAAAACATAAAAAAAATAAGACAGACGACCAAATGCTGATCATGTTGCCACAAAAGCTAACTTAAAATTAGAAAAAGAGGAGGTTTCTGACCAGTATATAATCACAAACTATTTACTGGAATGGCTACTGTTCATGTTAAGACCGTGACAGATAAAGAGAGGAAAAACAAGATCGATTGAGATTAGGTAAAAATGTAAATAAGAGAAATGAGTCCAGGAAAAACACGATAAACATTGCTCCTTTACTTCAGAGAGCTTATAATTTGTATAAAGCTTTCTTTAAATTCACAAAATCTGTCAGATTGAGTAAGACATACCAGAAAATCAGGCTACAAATTGTGAAACATTTATTTCAGTGGCTGATTCGATCTCGTGTTTCTCTATAATGTGTGCCACTTGATGCTGTGTGTAACCCGGGTCAGGGCGTCTGCCTCCATCCCCGCTGGGAGGCAACTGCCAGGTTTTTTTTTTTTTTTCCGCACAGATGGCCCACTGGAATGGAACAATCCTCTAATGAAGGGGTTCCTCTACTAGCAGCCTTCCCCCTTACTAAAACCACCGTTACTCTGCTTTTTTTTAAATACATTTGAAAGAATTCCCCCTGCTAACAAAGACTGCACAGTCCCACAGAGTTTATGAAGAAGTCTCTCCGTCATACAGTCTCTGAAGGATCCCCTAATCACGCTGTGTGTTTGTAAAACATGATGTTCGTGATGTGCAGCAGAGAGGGGTCACTTCTGAGCACTGCAGTGTCATTTCTCTCTTTATTATCTTCCATTAGGGACACAATAACTAGATCCATGTGTTGCAATTAGAGCATGATTTATACCGTCCGTTCTCAGGCTCATGAACTGCATTTTTGGACAAAACCGACATCAGAGCACCAGGGATTTTAGCAGTTGTGCGCTTGTTGGTTGTTTCTTAGTAAACAGAATCACAGCAGGATCTGTGTGCAGGTTTGCTTCTACATTCATAACAAAACCCAAAAAGGTGTATACATTGCAGCTATAATAAGCTTCAGAAATCGCTTAGATTTGGCTGAGAACTTTTAGGTACAGTTTTGTCATTGAGCATAAAAGAAATCTAAAGTCTACCGTCATTGAAAATGAAAGATGAGGAAATCTGTTGTGATGAGAGTTGCCACGTTTTTGCACTCAGTCCACTCAGGGTGCAGGGCTTTAGGTTTTTATGCTCGAATTTGCAAAAAGTTTCAAATGAAATCAAGTTTCGTTTTATTTGGAGCTAAACTGGGGCCATAAAGTTTATTGACAAAAATAAAATTTGAAACTGAAAAACTATTTTAAAACATGTAAAACTGGAACTAAAAAAAAGTTAAACTAATTGTCAAATTCTAGATTTGTTTGTTTTTTCCCCCAGTTTCAAACTTCTGGCCCTGTTTGGTGTGGAGGCGGGGCCTCGGACGAAAGTGGGTGTGGAATCGTGACTGACATCTCAACTGACAGAGGCTGGACTATATTTTCCCAGGAACTGTGAAAATTGGAAATATCTTTAAAACACCATAAATATTCTATATTCATGTGATTGTCACTATCATATTTTTTCCACTCAGACTTGTGTAGTATGTTGACATGAGCAGCTTATATCAGGGAACCATGTTGTTTTTCAAAGCCAAACCTTAAACAGAGAATATCAGTGATGTCTTATTAGAATATACACTCATAATAAATTTCCAAAGCACAAACAATTTGAATGTTTATCACAATACAAGACAGTCACAGCTTTACATGGATGCTATTTTGCAGGACAAGTTTTGAAACTGTATTCTTCACTTAACCTGTGTTACTATTTTCCAAGACACCATGTATAACGAGTTGCCGTATTGTATCATAAAAATGGCAGACAAAAATAAAGTGGTTTTCATCATCATTTAATTCAAAGAGCGCTTTGTAACACTTGTGTGGACACATCTCTGTATGTAAAATACACTAAGGTTTTTAAAGATGTTCTTTAAAAAGATGATGTTGGACAAATGTGTTTCCAGTTTGGAGAACGAATCGATATCTCTGCTCTGATTGGCTCAGTTCCCTTCAGTTTGATTCAGTCTACTTCAGTTGAGTCAAGGAAAATAGGTTCAAAGACATCAAAAAACCTGACGTCTTACAGGTAAGTGTCCTATCTGTACAGTAACATATTCAGTCTCACAGCAAATCAGATGTTTGTTTTTTTTTCAAAATTTATGTTGGACACTGCTGCAGTTCACTTTCTTGGAGAGCTCATCGTAGAAGGGTTCCTCTGTGGTGCTGTTTCATGTTCTGAGTTGTGAAAAACTCACGGGAAAATGAATGTGCTTATATCCTGCTTATAAAAGAAATGCTGTGTATTATACTTGTTTAGAAATCTGGAGCATTTTGTGTGTCAGAAAGAAAAGGCCCTGTGACCTTGTGCCATTTAAAAAAAAAAAAAAAAGAAGGAAGATTTTACTGTAAAGATTTGATTGGAATCACAAATTAGTCACGAGCTAAAAAAAAATATAGTTCTACTTCCAGTTGTATCTCTTAAAGGAAAAATAGGATTTGGCAGATTGTAGCTTTACAAAAATTGAAAATCGGAATCCGTCTCAAAACCTGTAATCAGTGCATTTGTCATTTTTTGGTTTTCTTGATTTGTAGAAAAAAGTTCTAGCAGCTGATCCATCATTATTAGTTTTATCATTAACTTGTACAAACTCTGTAAAAAAAAAACTTTTAAGAGTGTATTTTTTTCCAGTTTCTCTGGTTCTTTTATTCAGTTCGACATCCTTAGTTTAGTTAATCCTCTTTTTTCTTTCCTCCTGCTGTTAAATGTAGTGTTAGATAATAAACAAAGAAATGCATGTGGTTTATTCTTATCCGGAAACAAGCCAATTCTGAAAAAGTGCCCTTTTTTTAAAGTGGATTGTTTTTGTAGAAACATCAGGTTGCTAAGCAAAACTTCACAGACACATATCGCTGTTGCAAACTCCCCTGTTGTCTTTAACCACTGTTTACTCAATCTCTTATCTCAGTCCCTGCTGTTTCAGCAGTGATGTCATCGGTCGAAATAGAAAGAGAAATGCACTTTGTTCCCAAGTCGGAGTGGAAACTTCTTGTTTTTCAGAAACATTAGAGTCCAGAGCAGGATAATATTCCTGTCATCTGCATACTTGGGGATGGATAAATACTTTTTGGGCCACAGTTTCTAGGAACAAGGATGTTTTTGCTTCAGATTATTGTTTTCTTCAAGGTCTCTGACACAGAAGAATGTGTTTGGCCAACAGATGCACATCTGAGATCATTATTTTTGTCCTGATTTCATTCAGAGCAGACTGTGCATGTTTTATAGGTGAGGTCAACCAATATGGAGGAAAAGAACAACAATTCTATGTGAGCTACTTACTGTGTGACATACATGGTTGCTTTGTGTTGTTGGGAACGGTTAGATTTGACAGCTAGTTTTGAAAAGTCAATGCACATTTATGCTAATTTCTCTGCAGTTAAAATCAATCAAAATGAGTGAATTGACTATATGTATGATATACAACCCCTGGCAAAAAGTATGGAATCACCAGTGTTGGATGAGCACTCATTCAGACATTTCATTCTGTAAAACTAACTCAGATCAAAAACATGATACAATAATAAGGTCATTCCAAAGTACAACTTGTTGGCTTTCAGGAACACTTAAAGAAATGAAGAAAAAAACTTTGTGGAAGTCAGTGAATGTTACTTTTATTGACCAAGCACAGGGGAAAAAATATGGAATCACTCAAAGAGAGTTGGCACCAAATTGATGAAGAATACTGTTTGTCACTCATCAGTCCATGCCTCAGAGACTGCAACTGTTATAAAAGCCAAAGGTGGTGCAACTAAATACTAATGATGTATTTTGAATGGTCTTTTTTATCTGTTTTTCATGATTCCATACTTTTTTCCTCAGAATTGGGTGATTCCATATTTCCCCCCCTGTGCTTGGTCAATAAAAGTATCATTCACTGACTTCCACAATGTTTTCTCTTCATTTCTTTRAGTGTTCCTGAAAGCCAACAAGTTGCACTTTGGAATGACCTTATTATTGTATCATGTTTTTGATCTGAGTT